TGGGGCTGTGTTAGGTTCTTTGATCGCCTGCCCGAGCCTCAGGCTGATGCGACCACTGACGTGAAGCTTGTTCCCGGGTGCCTGCGCTGCTGCAACCCTACATACAGTGTCGTCACGGGAGTCCAAGATTCGCCCCAAAGGCCGCACACGTACTGCTCTTGGACATTGAGTGTTGGCACTATATGGGGCCTTCGGGGCGCATGATCAGGCCCATCTCCCTCCTTACAGAAGAGGACACTGAGGCCCAGGGGGAGACAGAGGGGCTCGCTCCCAAGTCGACCAGAACTGGAGGCCTGGTCTCCTGCCCCTTCCCGGTCCTGCTTCAGAGCCATTACAGCAGCCTCTCCCTCTCGTGAATTGCCTTCCATTTTACTTGTTCATACTTGGCCATCAGTTTTGTTTGTTCTTGGGTGTGTTTATTCTTTGCCCCAAATCATGAATTTGGTGTCTACGCCAGGCACCCAGTGGAAAAATAAGAAAAGATAGTCTCCTAGTTAGCTGTGTTTAGTGCTACAGAAACGTCCTCCTTTGTACTTACCTCTCACTTCTGACCTTCCCAGAATCGCCATGGAAACCTATATCCGGCAGAGGCAGCTAATCATGTCGCCCCTGATAACATCCCAGGTGATCGGGGAAAATGAGCCACTCACTTCAGTCCTGAATAAAGTGATAGCAGCGAAGGAAGTGAACCACAAAGGACAAGGTACACGCCTGTGCGCTCCGCTGGGAGGGGCGGGGGCGGGCATTCAGAGCCCGGCCTGGGACTCCCGCCCTTTCACTGCCTTCCTCTGGGGGCTGCCCACCTCAGCTTCCTGCTGAGGGCATTTAATACTGAACAGCACCCAGAATGACCGATCACAGCTCCATTTTGTAAATTCTATGGAACAAATTTTTATCCCATGACTCCTTCCTCACTTTTGTTCACCCTGCGGTCCTTGACTCTAGGTAAATGCACAGACAGAGAATTTATATGACTCCTTCCTCACTTTTGTCCTTGACTCTAGGTAAATGCACAGACAGAGAATTTAGAGGATAACTATGTCCCACTTTCTGAATATGTTTACCCCATTACATTTCCTAAAATTGAAAGCAGGGAGACCAAAGCAATATGTATTAATATAAAATAATTGGCTGTCTAGCAAAATGTTTTTAGTTGTTTTTAGTACTTCATATGTTCTGTTGACATCGTTTTAACCAAGAGAAATTCTGCTTATTGAAACTGCATTTTAAATTCAAAATAATAAGGGAAAGTAGTTAAAATTTTACATTTAAATACCAAGATGGTGATGGTTTTTGGATAATTTTGAAGATTGAGTAATTTTTTTAACCCACCCTATAACTGTCTTACAAAGTGTAGGCAATCAGAAGACACATTGCTTGCAGCATATTTAGTTTCCCCTGTATTAACAATTGTCCTTTATCCTGAGTGGGAAAGACATGTGAGGAAATGTTAAAAAATCAAAACAAATAACTATATTTCTGTTGTTTTGGAACTTCTAACCTTAAGATATAATTTGTTAGAGTAAAAAACCCTTATACTAAATAAATTATTCTGTATATATAACTTATTTTAACAAAACTGGAAAAAGGTCATTTTTTGCTGCTTAACAAATCAAACACTATTCAAATGTTTTTATGCTCTTCACAAATATTTTTTGTGGCTGCATGTTATTCCATTACTTGGATTTCAGAAAATGAAATCTAGGTAAAACTTAAGTGTTCTCTAATTTGTCACCATTATAAGTTTAACTCTACTATGACTATCTTTATACATTAGCTTTTCCCGTATTCAGGACTGCCTCCCCCAAAAGTAGGATTTCTGGGTCAAATGATGGCAACAAGCTTAAACCTGGAAACATCGCTATAGGCTTCTACCAGCAGGCACTAATTACCATCTTGCCCACTTTGCCAGCTGATACTTAAAAATTTTACCTGTTTCGAAGGTAAAAAGTAGACTTCCATATACTTCTCTTAAATAAAAACAAAAACTACTCTTCATGTGTATTTGTGAGTTTTCTAAAGTTTTCCTTCTTAGCACTTTATATAATAAAGATAATCTTATTTAGGACACATATTTTTCAATTTTCAGTTTGCCAAATAGTTATAATCTTCTTGTATTTCCCTGTGAATTGTCTGTTCATGTCTTATTTATTTGTAAAGATATTAAAGTTTTTTCTTCTAATGAGTAGTATAAATTCCTAAGTATTTATAAGTATTTCACCATTTTATAGTATACATTTTATTTTTATGAATATCAAAACTTTCCATTTATATAGATAATTCTTTTGCTTCTATGATTTCATTTGTTTTCTCTACTTGAAAAAATGGTTCATTCTAAGAGATGTAGTAACTACCTTTATTTTTCCTTTTAATTTCCTGTCTTTTTTCATATTAAGAATTTATTTTAATCAAAATGTGAGGTGAGAAATTAGATAGATTCTGTTCTATGTAGCAGCACATTTACGAAATTGTGTTTTTTTTCCATGATTTGTGCCTCTTTTGCTATCCTGTATAATAAAAGCCTAATATGCAAATTGACCGTACGGTGGAATGACCGGTTGCTATGACATGCACTGACCACCAGGGGGCAAACACTCAACACAGGAGCTGCCCCTTGGTGTCAGTATACTCCCACAGAGGGAGCACCGCTCAGCCAGAAGCCAGATTCACAGATGGTGAGCGTAGCGGCTATGGTAGGAGCCTTTCCTGCCTCTGCAGTAGCGCTAAGGATGTCCGACTGCAAGCTTAGAAAGCGGGCCTAAGCCGTTCGTCAGACATACCCCAAGGGCTCCCGGACTGAGAGAGGGTTCAGGCCAGGCTAAGGGACTCCCCCCTCCTGCACCCCCCCACCAGTGCATGAATGTCATGCACTGGGCCTCTAGTATATTATAGTACTTAACCTCATAGTTTACATGGATTCACATAACTTTTTTTTACCACTAATATCATGTATTACTAGAGCTTTACAGCATTTTGGTATCTAGCTTCACTCTTTTTCCTCCCTCAAAGTAAACATCTGTTCACTTCTCTGTCAAATTCTCAAGAAGTCTTAATGGAGTGTCATTAAAGTTATAAGTTAACTGGGGCAGAATTTTCATCCAATAACACTGTATCTGTATATCATTACAACATATTTTTCTCAGTGTGGGTGTGTGTTTATTATAGAGATCATACAGAGAACTGAAAGTTTATCTTTTATTTCTTTAAAGGACTTTGGGTGTCCTTGAAGCTATTGCCAGGTGACCTCCCGCAAGTTCAGAAGAATTTTTCACACTTGGTGGATAGATCAACAGCAATCGCCCGGAAAATGGGCTTTCCTGAAATAATTCTTCCAGGTAAACGTTTTGCTTGAGTCACCTGCTCTGCTTCCTCTAGGAATTCCTTCCATGAAGTAATTACTTCTAACAGCACAGTTGAAACAATACAGATCTATCGATTCAGTTATCTGCAGCCAGTGGTATCAAGACAGAGGGAGATACAAACAGAGTTGCATGCAGTACCTTAAAAAGCTACCCAGTGCCCTCGCCCTTGTTTGTCAGTGGTTAGAGCGTCAGCCTGTGGACTAAAAAGTCTCAGGTTCGTTTCCAGTAAAGAGTACGTACCTCCGTTGCAAGTTCCCCAGCCCCCGTAGGGGCACATGTGGGAGGCAACCAGTTGAGGTGTCTCTCTCATGTCAATGTTTCTCTCTTCCCACTCCTCCCTCCCTTCCACTCTCTCTAGAAACCAATGGGAAAAATATCTTTGGGTGAAGATTTTTTTTTAAAAAAGGCTACCTAGTGTGCAAGGCCAACATAAAGCTTCTGAATGTCACTCAAAATTTTTGGTTCACTCTCTCTTCCTTGTATGTTCTACACAAGCCCATCTGAAATGCTTCCCTAGACCATCGTTAAGTTGAACTAAATGGCACAGTTCTCTGCCCCGAGAATAATCTGAGATTTTTTTAAAAAAAAAAGGCTACCCAGTGTGCAAGGCCAACATAAAGCTTCTGAATGTCACTCAAAATTTTTGGTTCGCTCTCTCTTCCTTGTATGTTCTACACAAGCCCATCTGAAATGCTTCCCTAGACCATCGTTAAGTTGAACTAAATGGCACAGTTCTCTGCCCCGAGAATAATCTGCTTTAATTGCAAGAACCTTTCCTCACGGTGGCATCACCAGCATCCTGGGCTCCTTGCTGGGAAACTGCAGCGAGGAGCTGCAGCTCAGTCTCAGCTGGACCGGCTGCTTCATTTGCTTCAGCTCCAGCTGTGTTATTGGCAGTCCCCGTACTTGCGGTGACAGAACGTAAATATTCTGCAGTTTCTTACTTTAGTTCCATCTAATTTGCCACCACATGTTGTGATCTGCATATGTGTTTTGTTGTATTCACTGATTTAACCTATTTAATTTCTTCTTTTTTTTTTGTTAATCCTTACCCAAGGATATTTTTTTCTACTGATGTTTAGAAAGAGTGGAAGAGAGATGGGAGGGAAGGAGAGAGAGAGAGAAACATCAATGTGAGAGAGACATCGATTGGTTGCCTCCTGCACATGCCCCAACTGGGACTAGGAGATTTGCCACCGCATGTTGTGATCTGCATATGTGTTTTGTTATATTCACTGATTTAACCCATTTAATTTCTTCTTCTTTTTTGTTAATCCTTGCCCAAGGATATTTTTTTCCACTGATGTTTAGAAAGAATGGAAGAGAGATGGGAGGGAAGGAGAGAGAGAGAAACATCAATGTGAGAGAGACATCGATTGGTTGCCTCCTGCACATGCCCCAACTGGGACTAGGAATCAAACCTGCAACCCAGGTATGTGCCCTGGGCAGGACTCGAACCCGTGAATCTTCAGTATGTGGACCAATGCTCTAACCCAATGGTTCTCAACCTTCTGGCCCTTTAAATACAGTTCCTCATGTTGTGACCCAACCATAAAATTATTTTCGTTGCTACTTCATTACTGTAATGTTGCTACTGTTATGAATCGTAATGTAAATATCTGATAT